GCAAGGTCGTGAGTTCGGTTCCCGGTACCGGAGAAAAACCAAAAAAAAACCAAAAAAAAAATAAATAAATAAATAAATAAATAAAAACTTCAAGAACATGGATCCTTGCTTAATTCTGAAAACCAAGTAATGAGGATCCCGCAGACTGTATCTCACTAGATCTTAGTAAAATTGCTTTGCTTTAGTAACTTTGCTCAAGGCTCCCCCAGATTCTTGGTCAATAAATTGCTCTGCACTCTGTCACTGGAAAGGGTCCACTTGGTTCCTTTTCTCCATAAGCAACTGCTTTACACCCAAATCTTCCCACCTTGGAGGCCAGTGGCCCAAGAGTCCTACCACTGGCCAAGCTGTCACGTGGTCACACACACACGTCCAGAAGTCCTGGTGCTCTCAGAGCAGCCTCCTGCCCTCCTTGAAGGTCCCCTGGTCGAGCCAGACAGCTGGCTAGGAAAGCAGGACAAAGGTCGGCATGAGACAGAGCACGCTGCCAGAATTCAAAACACGCCCTGCGACACAAGCTGCGTCACATAAATCAAACAATAAAACTTGCTCTGTGACAATGGGCTTCTGAGAAAATGGTCTTTATGGCAGCTGAATTAGGTAAGTAAATGTGGTGCTGGCAGAAGCGTTTTACCATAGCCTGGAGTCAACAGACAAGGAGATCAGAGGATTGGTAGAGACCAAAATACTCACGTCTATATGTGCATATGTGCATATGGCACTCATTTTTTGTGCTTTTTACAATAGAAATCAGAATATTCCTTTTACCAAACTTACTTGCCTTATGTGGACAATGTCCTATGTATTTATTAATGTATCTGACCTGCATCTACTCATTCAATTCCCACTGGAACTCTAGGAAATGAGTAGCATGCTAATCCCCACTAACATGCAAAAACCCAAGACTCTGATGTGAGAATGCTACTCAAGGTGACAGCCAGCGAACCATGGAGTGGGGACTCGACTCCCGGTCCAACTCCAAGGGCCTTATCCTTATTTATTTGGGGAGGTGGTCTTTTTGAGACAGGGTCTTGCTGTGTAGTTCAGGCTGGCCTTGAATTCACTGTAGCCCAGGTTGGCCTCAAACTCATAGCAAGCCTCCTGCCTCAGCCTCCTGAGTGCTGGGATTACAGGCGTGTAATCACACCACACCCGGCAAGGGCCTTATCCTTACTACCAAGGTTAAGTAGGGGATGCTACACAGAATGGCCTGCTTAAGACTCCTGAAGTTACGACACATGTAAAATTAGGTCCTTGCTGTAAGCAAAAGGACATGATTTCAGCCAGCAGTAAAACTATAATAACTGTACACACCATCAATGCCAACTCTAAAATTACTCATAGGCTCCAGTCTCCCCAGCTGGAATTGCATAATTCACAGGATCATGGCAGCAACTTCTGCCTTCTATTAAAATTCTGTCACCAATCACCCACCTCCACTAGCAGTAAACAACTGTGTTGGAAATCCTCGGAGGAAAGGTTACCTACAGGAAGTAACAGGCTAGCTCGGCGTGAATACCAGGCAGCTGCTCCAGGAACACAGTCCAGGTACCTCCCCAGGGAGAAAGCGGGAGGCTGAAAGACACCTAGGCCCTGCCTCAAGGTTTCTAGGAGATGCAGCAGGTGGAGTCTCTGGTGAAAGGCAAGCAGTTAGCTACAGCACATTCTTCCATGCTCTTTTGCTAGGGAGGGTTCTGCTCTGCTAGACAAGGCTGGCTCTGGTCCCCAGCACAGCCCCAGCTTGGAAAACCAGGTAAGAGCCACGCATGACTTCCAAGCGTGGTGACCCAGGCTGGTCTCTTCGCTGCTACTCAAAAACCTTCCAAGAAAGTCCCGGGAAGTTTCTAGAAGGGCAGCACAAGCCCAAAGATTTCTCCAGAACTGGTATGCACGTGTGCCAAAGGTCATGCGTCTTCTGAAGGTAGACGCAGGTAAAAATTGGCAATAAGAAGAAAAATAAGGCAGTAGCCCCCTCCAACTGACGTGCACGGGCACATGTCCTCTGCCCTCCTAAGCCACATCATCATTTGCCCCAGGTGGCTTCTCTCT